CCCGCTCCATGTCCTCCTCTTCCTCCTCCAGCATTTTTCCTTCCCCTCCCCCTCCTCCTCCCCCTCCTCCTCCACCTCCTCCTCCACCTCCTCATGCTCCGTCTCCTCCTCCTCCTCCTCATCATCCCCCTCCTCCTCCTCCACCAATCATTATTCCCCTCCTCTACCCTCTTTGCTTCGTCTCCCTGTCCCGACAAACTGCTGTGAGGAACCGCGGCTCGCTTTTCTCGGTCGGACAAGCTGGCACCGCCCCATCCGCGGTGCACTCGGGGACTGGAGCTACACGACCAACAACGCCGACGCGCAGGTGGGCGTCAGAGGACCACAATCAAGCAGAGGAGGGAGGAGGATGAGGGGGATGTGGAGACGAGGAAGATGAATGGGGGGAGTTGGACGCGGATTGATGAAGAGGAAAAGGAGAAGGATGAGTATTAGTAGGAGTCGTTGTTAGGAGGCAGCACCAGGGAGGAGTAAGGGGAAAGCCTTAGCCAGTTCGCAATGGGACGACAAAGGAACACCATAGGAGGAGGAGGAGGAGGAGGAGGCACAGCTTGCGGAGAAGTCCACGTCAGACCAATGGCATACACCGATGCTGCTGCCTCCTCGGGCTCCGCATGGCCAGAGCTATCGCCTGTACCTGTCCACGGGTTTCCCTGGGCGTGAAGGCGCGGGACGCAGAGCGGGCAAAGGGCGCAAGCAGGCGGTACCCATGGAAGACACCGACGCAACACCGATAATCCTCCCCCACAAGGCCGAGACGACGCAGCCGATCCGCTGGCGGTGTCTGGCGGGTGGCAAGGGCGACCAATTCAGACAGCGGCTGGCATGAGAGCAGATAGTGGCGCAGATTATCTGGACAATCGCACCCAAGGAGGCACCGCGCATGTCGTTGCATACGAGTGCTTGTCGTCCATCCCCCAAGCCAAGTCTTCAAGGCTGCCGAGACCCAGCTGGGGGCCTGAGTCCGGAGGAAGGTGGCCAACGCGTGCCAAACCACCCCCCCAGCCCGAAAGTCCACCCCAGACCACTCGACCACCCTCCTGGGGACGAGCTCCTGCAGGTCATTCTGGAACACGTGCTCGGCAATCGGAGTTTCGAAGACCCTCTGCCACTTCGGGCGGACCTCCGTAGACCCAAAAACGCCACCGTCCAAGAGCCTGCCGCCCACCCGCCCGCAGTTTTGGGGTCCCCGGGGAAGCCCGACGCGGCCTTTTCGAGGGACACCGCGATGCAAGGCATCCTCCAGAATTGCAGGGCAAGAGAGTCGCCCGTCGCCGGGGCCGCGATAGAGGCCTCGCGGATCCGGACCAGCAGCGGCCGCCAGACCGCGGTAGTCACGAGCGCTGTGCGCATCATGGCGGCGGCAGCCGTGGAAAATAAGGAATGGATCGCTGGGCCTCCAACCGATGCCAGATGAAACCAATCCGCGTGCCTCGCCACCGAACTGGAGGTACGCCAGAGCTGGGCGAACCAATGTCGTTCCTCGCAGGCGCGCTGCCAGCTCATGGGGATGCGCTGGGAAACGCAGGAGGCGACAGAGAAGGCCCTCGAGGCGTAAAGCTGGAAAAACATAGCGGGATAATCACCTTGTTCAGCAATCTGCCCCGCACGAAGGCGCGCCTGGGACATGGGCGCCGCCCTGTCAACAGTGCTAGTCGGGCCGATCCCAAAGCCGAGGTACTTCAAGTGTCCTACGACTCCAAACTGGACCCAGTCGGAGCAGGTCGCCTGGAGCTGATGGCGAACGCGGCCCTCCCCAGCTCCTCGATTCCCGCGATCACAAAAGCTGCAATGGACAATCAAATCAGAGCGGACTTTGCGCACAAAGTCAATCAGCTGAGAACGGTCGCCGTGCACTTCTTGCAGTCCCACAGTGCTGCTTCCAGTCACACAGCGTCTACGGTAACCCAACATCTTCTGGCCCTTGGTCCCGCCGTATTGCAGCAGAGCCCTAGCGTTTTAGGTAGCGAAGTGCAGCACCGCGCCGCCTGCGGACGCTTGCAGCGAGAAACGGCCCGCGAAGCCGTCAAAGACACCACTGCGTTGAGGCCGCGGGCGTGGACAAAGAGGAGATGGCTTCGGCGAGAAGACGACGCTCCAGGCCACGCGCCGCGATGCCCACATCGTTCCAAGGAGCCGTGGAGGGTTCGTCGCCACGGTGGGCCTCGACCTTGAGGACGTCAGTGACATCAGCCTTGAGGATGCCCCTCTCGCGGTCGGCGAGCCGCCGCTTCTGGGGGCAGGCGCCGCCGAAGACGCCGCGGATCTTGCGACGGAATATCTCCGTGTGGACCTGCTTGGTACTCTTGTCGGGGCCGATGTGAGGACGGGCTGGGTCGGCTCCTTGGACGGCGCAACGAAACTCCCTCCACTGGCACCCCTTCCGTAGGCATCCCAGGACACTCTGGACTTTACGGGAGGCCGCACCAACAGCACCCTTGAACGAGATCGAGAACTTCTTGGCGGGGAAGGGGGTGAGAGCGCGGATGTCGCAGCCATCCTCGCGGAAGTTGAGCTCAGTGAGGAAGGCGCCAATCTCCTCGCGCACACCGTGGAGCCCAACCAACTTCGTAGCCATCGCGATAACTTGGGACGGATCAATCTCACGATCGAAGCCAGGGGAGACGAATGGCTTCGCAAGGGCCGCTTTGTCAAGCTCCACTTGCTTGCGGATATCGGAGATTCTTTGTTGCATGGCAACGATCTGCCTCTCATGCTCACCCAGGGTATGCTCCGACTCTGAGACGCGCTTGGTGAGCGCGTCCTGCTGCATCTGGAATCCTCTGGCAAGCTGGCCGAGCTGGGGGCGAATCGCGGACACGATTTTCTGGTCGACGACCTGGACGTGCCCCGAAACCTGCTGGCGCAGCACGTCCAAGGTCTTGAGGATCGGGTCATTGGCGGCCTGGGGGGACGAAGTGACCGCAGCTTTGATCATGTCGTCGAAGCTGCCACGCAAGGAGGCGAACCGAGCCTCGATGTCGGCACGATAGTAGTGGATGTTGAAGTCGGAAAAGTCGGCGTCGATGTGGTCTACCTGTGGTTCAGCACGCTCAGGATGTGCAGCGCGAGCAGGGCTATCGCCACGAGGAGGAAGCCGAGCCGCAGCTTGTGCCCACGGATCGGGAGGGGTACTCCAGATTTCGTAACAAAAGGGAGGGGGTCTGGACCCTCCAAGACAAGCCATTTCAGACCCCCCCCCCGTGCACGGGAGAACCCTCCAAAACGTCGTCCCCAGAGCCCCCCAGGCCCTCCAAGATACCCTGGAAGAGACCCCCCCCGAAATCAGACCCCCCTCCCTTTTATTACGAAATCTGGAGTACCTTGAGCTTCATCTGGGAGGGCGGGGAGGATGGCGTCCGCCTGCAGGATGCTGGCCTGCTGGCTGTCGGAGCGGGACGGGCCCCCGGCAGGCGCCGCCTGTCCAGGAAGCAGGGGCGCCAGGGCCTCTCCCGCGATGTGAAAGCAGGAGCGGGCGGACGACGATCAGCATCAGGACGAACATCCGCCTCCTCCTCCTCCTCCGCCTCCTCCTCCTCCTCCTCCTCCTCCTCCTCCCACTCCTCCTCCCACTCCTCCTCCTCCTCCTCCTCCTCCTCCTCCTCCTCCTCCCACTCCTCCTCCTCCTCCTCCTCCTCCTCCTCCTCCCCCTCCTCCCACCCCGCGATGTGAAGCAGGAGCAAGCGGACGGCCGCTGGACCGCTTAGATCTTCCCGAACGCAGAGTCTCCCCTGCCCTGGGGGCGGAAGCGGCCGCACCGTTCTGCCTCCACGGCACTGCCGCCGCTGCGAGAGATCGAGCGAGGATGAGGAGGAGGAGAAAGAGGAGGACGGGTCACCTCAGCCCTGCGGGGAAGCCCTCCAGGAGCAGGGCTGGGCCTCGGCTGGACTCTGGGACGGAGCTCGGAGAGAGCGGGGAGCGAGCGCGGAGGTTGAAGAACATGTCGAAACGGCAGCCCGAACTTCGGCGGCGGGCGGGGGGTGGGACTGGGGGGCCACATGCGAACCCTACCCTCACCCCGCGCGATTTCCGAGGGGGTAGGGGTAGGGTTCGCATGTGGCATGTGGCACACTGGGGGGTGAGAAGGAGAAGGGTTTCTCAGAAAACGGCGGGGCTTCTCAAGAGGCCGCTGGCCCCCTGAGCAGTTTTCCGCGTCTTCGGGGCAGGCTTCGAGAGCCTCTCGGAAGGCCGTAGGACTTCCGAGCCTTCTGAGAAGGCCCGGCCCCGCTGACTTCCCCCTCGCTCGCCGCCGAGAACTACAGGGGGGGCCAGTCCACTAGAAACCCGCCACAAGAAACCCAACCGCCCATTGCTCGTTGGAGTGGGAGCGCCACGACTTATCGAAAAACACTCGACACCCAACACACCCAGGGCACCCTTGACGCGAGCAGGGTGCTTCTTGGCATGGGTCTCCTCCGTATCCGCTGCCGCACTAAACTCGGCGGTGGACAAACCTCCCTTTAGTAAACCTCCCCTTAGTGAAAACGGCCTGGGACCGAAACCGACGGACTTGGACCCGCAAACATGACGGCCGCGACGCCCTCTCGCGAACCGAAAACGGCCAATCCCTCAATCGACGCGACAGGATAGGAGGTCTGTCCACCCCCGAACTGATCGGGAGCGGCCAAGAGGGGGGTGTCCAAGAGGGGGGGTGCAAATCATGACCGGCGGCATGTGCGCGGCCCAGCGGGGGGGCCAGGGACGTCATGAAATAAGAAGGGGCGCCATGACATCTGGGGGACTATCATGGCCCACGCCCTGATATCCACCCCCCCCTAGTCATCACCCCCCTCTTTGAAGGGGCCCTGGGACACACAAATAAATACACACAAATAAACATATTCCCCATATTTTCGTATATTTTCTGGGTTTTTGTCTTCCCCACCACTTCCCATATTTTCCCATATTTTCTGGGAATCGACGATTAATTGTGTCTGTGTGTTTTTTCCCCTCCTGACTCTTTTCCGCCCCCGAACTGAACACGCGCGAGCAGGCCGCCCTCAGTCGTCCGGAACCTCGCCCTCCTGGCCCTGCGGCTGCGCGCCTCCGGGGCTCGGGCCGGCAGGCCGACGGCGGCAGGGAGGGGGCGCGGGCAGGTCGGCCGGGGCTCCCTCGCCGCCGCGCGGCGGCGAGCGAGGGGGGCAATGCGAAGGAGAAGGAACTCTCAAGGGGGCAAACAAACCTACCTCGCTTTTGACCACCCTTGCTTCCAAGAGATACCAAGCGATGCCAAACCACGGCCTGTACTGGTCAGGCCGCTTGACGAGGAGGCGCGTGGTATGCCTTGGTTTTGCCTGGAAGCGAAAGCGGGGTAAGTAATTCACGCTCTGACTCTCAGAGGGCGGCGAAACTCCTCGGAAGCCCTCACGCCTTCCGAGGGGTGTTCGATGTCTTCGGGGAAGGCTCAGAGGACTTCTCAGGAGGCCGGGAGACGTCCGAGCCTTCTGAGAGGACCTGCCCCTCCTCACTTACCCCCATCGCTCGCCACCGATCCTCCTTCTCCTACGACTGCAAGATGAAGAACGCAGCGGGCTGAGATAATGCGGACATCTCTGGTGCCACAGCCGCTGCAGAGCGCCCCAGAGCGCCTCGTCATCGTTCTGGAGCGCTCCGTAGCTTCTTTTAATCTTTGATCTTTGGCCTGCCGGGTCTTCCCGTCGAGGGACCCTAGCGTCCAACGCAGGAATGACTGCTAACAAGGAACAAGGCACCTCCGTGGCGCACCCGCTGGCAGGCTGGTTTCTTCTTTGGCGCGCCCACTGCATGTGTGTGTGTGTGTGCTGTGTGTGCTGTGTGTGCTGTGTGTTGTGTGTTGTGTGTGTGGGTTGTATGTGTGCTGTGTGCTGTGTGTTGTGTGTTGTTTGTGTTTTGTGTGTGTGTGTTGTGTGTGTTGTGTGTGTGTGTGTGCTGTGTGCTGTGTATGTTGTGTGTGTTGTGTGTTGTGTGCATTGTGAGTGTGTGTTGTGTGTGTTGTGTGTAGTGTGCTGTGTCTTGTGTTGTGTGTGTTGTGTGTGCTGTGTGTTGTGTGTGTTGTGTGTGTGTGTGTTGTGTGTGTTGTGTGTGTTGTGTGTGTGTGTTGTGTGTGTGTGTGTGTGTGTGTGTGCGTGTGTTTGTGTGTGTGTGTGTGTGTTGCGTGTTGTGTGTGTTGTGTGTGTTGTGTGTGTTGTGTGTGTGTGTGTGTGTTGTGTGTGTTGTGTGTGTGTGTGTTGTGTGTGTGTTGTGTGTGTGTGTGCTGTGCGTGTGTGTGTGTGTGTGTGGTGTGTGTGTGTGTGTGTGTGTGTGTGCGAGTGTGCTGGGCTCAAGCCGCCGGCGCCGTGCGTCTGCGCGGGGAGCAGCGGGCCCCTGCCAGGCCTCGGGCCGCCGCGGGGCGCTCACCGACTGGCGGCGCGGAGGGCTCCGTGGTGGGCTGCACCCCGTAGGCTGCGCTGCAGAAAACAACGCGCGGGAGCGGGCGGGGGGAAAGGTCAGCGCCCATCAAACGGGGACTCCACTAACGGGTACTTTGGCCAGTGACCCAGCGAACCCAACCCTTCCCGATGTGGGCAACGCTGCACTGCCAGAAAGAGGCCCGAAAGTGGCTGCACCCCGTGGGCCCCGTTGCAAAACACAACGCGCGGGAGCTAAAACAGGGCTGGGATCGGGATAAATCGCTCCAGAGCGTTCCAGAGCGCTCTCAGAGCGTTCCGGAACGCTCCGGAGCGGCCGCGGCGCCCAAGACATCCTCCAAACCCGCCGATTCTCAGAGATTTCGAGTTGTCCCGATCCGATTTGTCCCGATCTTCGCGTCGTTTTAGGAGCAGGCGGGGGGAAAGGGCCCACGGAGCGCGAGCCGGGGTGGGCGCAGAAGACTGGCCGAGGACTGTGCCCGCGCGCCCGGGCGGCGTGCGGCCCGAGCCTGGTCTTGGGTCGGGCACGCCCCCCCCCTGCAGGCCGATTTTGGCCGACAGATCAGAGACATCCAAGAAAATGCCCGAGATCGTAGCCAGAGATGGTCGAGGCATCGTCGCCAGACTGTTTTTGTTGTTGACTGCCTCTGAAGGTCGGCGCCCCTGGATACGTGCATTGCTTCCGGTCGGGCGTGCCCCCCTGCAGGCGGATGCTAGGCGAGAGCTCGGACATGGCTCAAACCATCGTCACGGATGCCCAAACATAGTCGAAACATCGACTACTCCAGATTTCGTAATAAAGGGAGGGGGGGGTCTTTTCCAAGCTATCTTGGAGGGCCTGGGGGGGTCTGGGGACGATGTTTTGGAGGGTCCTCCCAGGGGGGGGGTCTAAAACTTCCCGTCTGGGAGGGTTGAGACCCCCTCCCTTCTATTACGAAATCTGGAGTATCTTTGACTATTCCTCCTGCAGCGGGGCACGCCCGACTTGACCCCTGTCGTCGCCGAGCGTCCTGTCCTGCCCCCGGCTGGAGCCCAGCGGGCCCGACCGCGGGCGAACACCCGCGCCTCCGCGCCCGGCCGAAGGCGGGAGCCCCCGCCGGCGCCCGCCGAGGTCTCTGCTGCTGGCGGGCGGAGCGGGGGGGGCAGAGGGGGACGAGGAGGAGGATCGTCAGTGGGAGGAGGAAGAGGGAGAGGACTCCTCTTCCTCTTCCTCTTCCTCTTCCCCCCACTTCGCGCCCGCTTCCCTCTTCAACTCCCCGCTTCCCCCGAGGATCGTCAGCTGGATCGGCTGGACCGCGGGCCCACAGAATCGAAACCAGCGATGAGGACAGAGCGTACGGATGCAATGCCTTCGGAACGCGCCGAAAGGACAAAGACGCTCCGACACGGATGCAGGGTGCCCCAACCAGGCAACAGCCTCGCCTCCGCGCGCACTCGACGCATCGGGAAACCGGAGAAACCGAAAGAGCGCTGAGGATGGCCAGGGACGAAGGACCGAAGGACCCAGGGTGTCCCACACGACAAGGGCTTAGGTCGGGCACGTCCCTTACATGCAGACGAAAAAAAGCATACTCTAAAAATACTCAAACATAGTCAAAAGTAGTCGAAACATCGCCCCTAGATTGATTTTACTTATTTTGGATGTTCCTCCTGCAGATCGGCCCATGCTCAACGCCAGGCTCCAAACATGTTCAAAAATAGTCAACAGTAGTTGACAAATCGTCCCCAAGCTATTTTTTACTATTTTTGAATATTCCTCCTGCAGAGGGACAGGCCCGACTGTGCCGTCTCCCCCCCTCGCCCCTCCTCGGGGGGGCGGCCCCGACCTGCGAGGCTTGGGCAGCGCCCCGTGCGAAGGCTGGCCACGGGACCAAAAAGGATCCCGGGCGCCCCACACGACCAGGGCCACACCGAACGCCAGGCTCGACTGTGCCACCTCCCCCCCCCGCCGCCCCCGCTCCTCGAGCCCTCGCTCGGACGCCCACTCCCCCGGCATCTAATTAGGAGGACCCCGGCGTGCTCCCCGGTGGCCCTCGCCGAGAGAAGCGGCACACGTCCGAGCGATGCCAAGTGGCCAAGGCCCAGGGGCGGCCCCGGCCCGCGAGGCTAGGCTACGGAGGCGCCCCGCACCGAGGGCGGTCGGCGAAGGCGAGGGAGGAGGGCGACGGCGCCCCGACGCTGGGCGAGCGGGGCCTCCCGCGTCCTGCGGCGGAGGAGCCCGGCACGCAGGCCCGAGGAGTGCGGGCGATCACGAGGAGGACCGAGCGACTGCGACGTCCCGGCACGTGGTGTCCTCGGCTGCCCGGGCACGCAGCTCGCCACACGCAGCGCACTGCTGCGGGGCTCAACACGTAGGCTGGAGACCTATAGGTCCGGCGCGACACGTGCGCCGAGACGTGGTCCAACACGATGAGCGAGCACGCAAAGCACGGGACGTAGCACCTAAGGTGGCGCCACCTTCGTGCCGACCTGGGCGTATGGCGGGCAGCGCGCGGCCGCGTCGAGAGCGGCAACGCGGCCCAGGCTCTGCACAGCGACCCTCCCCTCGCCCGTCGCTCGGACGTCCACTCCCCGTGCACTTTCTTCGCTGTCGCGCGTGCATGCTCGCGAGGCGATCCGAGGCGCTCCTCGATGGCCCTCGCGGGGGACACGACCGCCTCGACTCGACACGAGGCGTCACCTTCGTGCCGGCACGGCCACGCGGCCGGCGGCGCGCGGAGGCGCCGAGGGGAGCAGCGCAGCCCAGGCCTTGGCACAGCGGCCCAGTCCTGGCCGGGCAGCTCTCGTGGAGGCCTCCGAGAGGAACAGGGTCGGAGGATCGCGCCACGTCGCCGATGCATCGCCGATGCATCGGCGATGCCTCGGCGACGCACCGGCGATGCATCGGAGATGCACCTGCACCGGCGATGCATCGTCGACGTGGGTGGTGCATCGGCCACGTCGGCACGGAGGAAATCAAATCGAGCTCCACATCGATCCGCATCGCCGATGCACCGGCGCTGCGGCGCGATCCTTCGACCCCAGCTACTCGGACCCCATATGCGAGGCCTGGATCTCAGCTGCGGCTCGCAGCGCCGCGGCCGGCAGCGGCCGTGGCCAGCAGGGCCGGGGGGGCCTGGCGCAGCCCCCCGTGCCACAGCGGCCAGCCCTGCCGGCCCTGCCGTGGCTCCCGCCTCGCCCGCCGGCCCCTCGCTCCTCCCCGGGGGCTCGAAGGAGGGCCAGTGTTTACGTTGCTCCCATCGCACTCGAGGACCGCATCCCAGAAATAATTGTTCGAGCACCCAGGGAAAAATGTCGAAAGAGTGTCGCCTCCCAGGGCCCGAGTCTCGGTATATTCTCGGTGCTCGACATCGTTTCTGGTGATCGAGGCCAAAGTAGGTTGGAACAATATAAGGCCAGTGGAGCGACGACCAAAAACCAGTCTTGCGCGAGATGGAGCAGCGGCCTTACGCCGCAGCTTACGCTGGCCGCCGGCGCCCACGGCCTTCGGAAGCCGAGGCCTTCCGGAGCCAAGCCCTTCCCTCGAGTGCCGAGGACAAGAGGGGAGAGCGGCTCAGTGGGGGAAACTTCGACCTGGATGAGCTCCCACCGCGCCCCCCAGATCTTATTTTGGCAGGCTGCGCCGTGATGTGTCGATCTGTGGACTGACCGAGCTCCTGCGCCCCGCTTAACAATGGATGTGTCGACTTCTATCCCCGTCCATCCTCGATAGGGGTGCGTCCGAATAGCCTGCTTGGGGTGTATCCCAGGGTTTGCCCAACTTTCTGAGCGGCCAAACTTCTTGGGCGGAGCTCGGGGATTGGGGAAGACAAATTCACTGCGAGCCGAAATCCTGCGCCCCGCTGGCGACGCCAACCAACATGCAATCGAGGGCAGAGGGGCGCGCTGAAGATTGCGCCGGCGCCCTGGTCGCGCGGGTGGTACAGGATGTTGCCCATTGCCCGCTCTCCCCCCGAACGTTGCCCCGAGGCTGCCAGGGGATCTGCATTCAGCTCAGACCCCCAGGGGTGAAAATTGTTACGACAGGCGCGCGGTCGCGGCGCTGACGCGGCATCAATTTCCCGCGCAGCCTTCGAAGGACAACAATAGTGGACGCAAGGGTTTTGTGGATGTGCGGATAGACCCTCGCTGAGAACTGGTTGGGACCCCATGAAACTCTGCCCCCGGACTCCTCACGGCGTCCATCTGGCGCAGTTTTTCGCCCGGGATCCGTTTCTGACAGTCCCAGGTCCCGACAACAGTCCTCTGGAGGCCCCGAAATTGAGCAGGGACCGACCGTCCCGGCATTCCTATAGGTCTAACACGAAATATTCTTATAACCCAAAATTGATCTAAGAAACCAAAAATGTTTTTCGAACAGAAACCCAATGTGTTAAACCAAGACAGTCCCAGCCAGAAATGTTCTAAGAACATTACATGGACACCACGCAAGGTTCTTAAAGCATTGTTTGATGGACGTATAGGCGAACCAGGACGCTTTGCCACTGCTTGACAAAAAACAAACAGCAAGCTTCTTGACGAACCCAGAACCTCGAACCTGCCCGCGCTCTTCCTGCTGGCCGAGACCAAAATTGGGCCATCCCAGACCGTCAGACAGCTCCTCATCGATCCGATGTCTTGCTTTTTTGAAGCCGGGGCTCCCACACGATTCGTTCCCCGGGACCGGCTCTGCGTCGCGAGGCGTCTTTTCACGGCCCCGGGGCCCAGAAAGGGCAACTGGAGGCCAAAAACTACGAACCCCAACATTGCCAGACTTACCTGGGACACAGAAACATCCTTCAAGAACATGCGAACCTCCGCCGGCCAAACTGAAGAACACCCGAGGGCCCCGTCCCCCAGGATGCATCAGAGCATCCAACAAACACGAAGAGCGTCTGGGTACCCTCACCCACACGAATTCGACCTTACATGTCGGTCAGATCGTGTTCCGAGAACGGCGCCCACGCACCGTGCCATGTCTGGACTCCGTTCAGGCCCCGACCCGACGCGGTACGATGCATAGATCTCTCTGCCCTGGGGGCCGAAGGACTATGCCTGGGTAAAGAATCGACGGCGCCTCCTCCTCCTCCTCCTCCTCCTCCTCCTCGCTCCCCCCTCGCCTCTCCCTCGCCAACGCGGTACGGTGGGAGGAGCAGAAGGAGGAGGAGGAACAGGAGGAGGAAGAGGAGGAGGAGGAGGAGGAGGAGGGGGAGGAGGAGGAGGAGGAGGGAGAGAGGAGGGAGGAGAGGAGGAGGAGGAAGAGGAGGAGGAGGAGGAGGGGGAGAAGGAGGAGGAGAGGAGGAGGAGGGAGGAGGAGGAGAGGAGGAGGAGGGAGGAGGAGGAGGAGGAGGAGGAGGAGTGGAGGAGGGAAGGAGGAGGAGGGGGAGGAGGAGGGAGGGGGAGGAGGAGGAGGAGGAGGAGGAGGGGGGAGGAGGAAGGAGGAGAGAGGAGGGGGAGGAGGAGGAGGAGGAGGAGGCGGTGCACGCCAGCCGTCCGCGGACGCACGTGCACCCCTCCGTGCGCCGGAGGTCCGCGCCCGCGCCCCCGGCAGGGGGCGCAGAGGCGGGGGCCGCCTGGCGGCCGCCCCGCGCCCAGCTCCGACAGCTCCACGCACGGCGGGGGCCTCCTGGCCGCCAGCTGCGCAGCGGGGGCGCTGGCGCGCCTCGGGGGGGCGCGTGCGCGGCGGACGGGCCGCGGCGCAGCGTCTGACGGCCCTGTGCTATCCACGGCCACGACCACCGCGAAGAGTTGGGAGGGGGAGGGGGTCCTCCTCCACCTCCTCCTCGTCCTTCTCCTCCTCCACCTCCTCCTCCCCCTCCTCCTCCTCCTCCTCCTCCTCCTCCTCCTCCTCCTCCTCCTATTGTCCTCCTTCCCCCCTCCAACTGATGGTGGTGGTGGTGGAAAACAGGCCCCTCAGCGTCGGCATGCAGGTGCCTCCGCACGACGAAGCAACAGTAGCCACCCGCACCCAGAAGGGGGGTCGGAGGGAGGAGGAGTGGCTGATTATGGATATAGGCTTCCGTTCGAGCGGGCCCCCCCAGTCGACAACACGCACCCATAGCCCTGTCCGTCCCTCCTATGGGTATGAGTGCGTGTTGTTCGTTCGTCATATCTACAGTCGTCGTGCTACCATCTGGAGCGCCGAATCGGGAACGAACGGGCTTTTCTGGCCACTGGTGGCCTAGGCCGCACACAAATCCCACGGCAGAAGTCTAAGAAACGGCCCGAACACCCGGCGCCACGACAGCGGGGAGAGGATGCACAGCGCCCCCCAGAGCAACGCCACAGACGTGGACTTTCCTTCATTCTTGGAGAGGGTTTCGGGACGGGCGAAAGGGAGGGATAGCAAAGGGGGGGGTTGAGAATCAGCTCACGTAGCTGATTTTCGAGGCGGCCATGAGTCGAGGAATGGGCCCCTCGGCGGGGCCGAAACCAGCTGCATGCAGCAGATTTCGGAACCCCCCCTTTCCCAATGCCCCCCTCTCGTCCGGCCCGACTTTCGGGCCCCCAACGGCCAAACCGCCTCGACGGACCGCCCCCGGACGGCCTACGAGAGCTCCCGGATCTTAAGAGGGCACAGCGTCGGAGCCCGCAGGTGGCTCCCTCGCCGTGCAGCTCGGCTGCTGTCGGGCTGCTGAGCTAGGAGGCGCTGCGCAAGGAACGACACCCCCTCCTGGAACAAATCAACGACTTGGGTACGAGAGGAGAACTAGGAAGCACGAGCACGGAATCCCTCCTCCGAGGTGAGAGGCTGGGGTCGGGGGGAGAAAAGGGGGGCTGCGACGCCCTTCTCCTCCGGCGTGCTGCTCCGCGCCGTGCTGCGGGTCCCGGATGCGCCGTGCAAAGACGTGGTCCCCTCTGGCTTGCCTTTCTCGCGATTCCGATGGGGCGGAGGCAGGGAGGAAGAGACGGGAGAGGAGGAGGAGGAGGAGGAGAAGGAGGAGGAGGAGGAGGAGGAGGAGGAGGAGGACGACGACGAGGAGAAGGAGGAGGAGGAGGAGGAGGGAATAGGAGCAGGAGGGGGGGGGGGAGAGGTCGGAAGCACGGGGAAGGGCTGCTCGGGCTGCTCAGAGCTCGGGGCCGCGCTGCCCCCTCTCGCCTCCAGCGCAGCTGGCGGCTTGGGCAGCACACGCGAAAGGTTCGGCGGGGAAGGCCGGCACCCTACGCGCCGGGACAAGCACGAAATCGGAGGTCTGGGTGCACCGATCTGACTACCTACCAGACCACACCGACCTAACCCGAAGACCCAAATTTCGGGTTGGGGGGTTACGGGTTCCACACGTGTTTTTCGATGCTCCCCGGCCCGCCCCACACTGGACTGGAAATCGTTGGGTTCGGGTGGTTTGGTGGGTGGTGACGATCTGGGCCAGGCCAATTCTGACCCCAAGATCGGTGTATGTGCCGTCCCCGGCTGGGCCTGGAGCGCATATATGGTCCAGGGTTTGGGCCCCCCCCTCCCCAATGCTGATGCCATTGGCCCCCCCCCCCGCGCGATGGTCCCCCCCGCCCCCCCCTGTGGGCGTGGCGTGGTGTTGCGCTGCGGTTCCCCCCCCCCCTGTGGATGTGGTGTGGTGCTGTGGTGGTTCAGAGGTGGGCGTGGCGTGGTGTTGCACTGCGGTGCCCCCCTCCCCCCCCCCTGTGGATGTGGTGTGGTGCTGTGGTGGTTCAGAGGTCGTCGTCGTCGTCGTCGTCGTCGTCGTCGTCGTCCTCGTCGTCCTCGTCGTCCTCGTCGTCCTCGTCGTCGTCGTCGTCATCGTCGTCGTCGTCATCGTCGTCGTCGTCGTCATCGTCGTCGTCGCCGTCGTCATCGTCGTCATCGTCGTCGTCGCCGCCGCCGCCGGCGTCGTCGCCGCCGCAGCGTCGTCGTTCGTCGTCGTCGTCGTCGTCGCCGTCGTCGCCGTCGTCGCCGTCGTCGTCGCGTCGTCGTCGTCGTCGTCGTCGTCGTCGTCGTCGTCGTCGTCGTCGTCGTCGTCGTCGTCTCTGGGACCATACCATCTGGGGGGGGGGGGCGAGGAATCCTGGGACCATGCCATCTGGGGGGGGGGCGGGGCCCGTGGGTCCTCGACCCTGGATCATATATTCACCAAGCGTAGGGTCAGGATGGGGCTCGCCAGGCTCGGTGCAGGGGGACGCTGGCGTTCCTGCCCCTCCTCCGCCTCCTCCTCCTCCTCCTCCTCCTCCTCCTCCTCCTCCCACTCCTACTCCTCCCGAGGAAAAACCCCAACGCCGTCCGATGCACTGGCCCACGCAGGCGCTCCACAGAGGGCCGCGGGGAATGTCTCGCTGGGAGCCAAGAGCTGGGAGCTCCGTCCCGTGGTACCTGGCAGGAGACCCTCCCAAGAGCTCCAGGAACTGGTGGCGCCTGAGGCAGCGTGGCACGGCATCCGGACATCCTGCGCAGGGGAGGATGCGCTGCCTCTTCAGGCGTCGACGGCCACCGCACCTGCGATTGCCTTGCAAGCCGACGGGCGAGTTCATCAACAATGAGGGCTTCTTTCGCACGTTATAGTGAAGGTACCCAACACCGCACACAGAAGGCGGCAAAGCGCTTGCAGAACGTCTGGAAGAGGCAACCAAAGAAGTCCGCTCGCAGAATCTGCGAGCACACGATACTCCGGAATCCTACAGCCCCGCTCACACACAGTGTCAACCTGAGGCTATCCCAGAGGTGAGCGTGAGTGGAGAAAGAGGTAAGGGTCAGGAGCTTATGCTCAGCGTGTCGCGGCGGCGGCCCCGTCGAGACGCTATGCCTTGCGAACCGACAGCGTGTCGCTCCGCTCCGCGGGGCGGGGGGTACTGGGAAATGCTCGGGACGTTAACGCCTGGGGGCTGGGACATGGTCAGCGTGTCGCGCCGAAACGTAGTGGGCCAGAACCTGACTGTATAGGTCGAGAATTAAAGAGAAGCAGGGTAGATAATGTACCAGGAGGCGCAGTAGCAACCTGAGGAGGAAGGATCGGCAGCAGGAGGGAACCCGAACAGAAACACACGCGTCCAGCGAGCAATACAAACACGAGAGGGAAACGAGCGAGTCGTCACGCCAACAGACGGCGTAGCATGATTGATCCCCCTCTCTCTCACACGTTCTCTCCTCTCTCTCTCTCTCTTTGTTTCGATATGTCTTGCTCTCTCGTTGTCGCTCACTCTCTCTCTCTCTCGTTTCTTATGTTGTGCTTCTCTCTCTCTCTACCTCGGTCTCAGAGACATGTAGATATTTACGTTTGTTTCTCTCTCTCTCTCTCGCGCGCGTTATCTGTTTTTTGTTGTTTCTCTCTCTCTCTCTCTCTCTCCTCTCTCGCCACGACTGTTGCATGTCGGTCCACGTGTCAACGCGACAAGGTGGCTCGACACATGCACTTTTCGGGCGAACAGCCGCTCTGCTTGACAAAAAGGATTGCTGCCCGACTGCTGAGCCACTTGCCCTCATCAGGTTGAGGGGGCCGAGCGGTCATTCACTATCCCTGGGGGTGCGGCTGAAGTGAGGTTCCGATGTGCAGATTGTTGTTGCTGTTGATGCTGCTGTTGCTGTTACCGTTGCCGTAGTTGTTGTGGTTGCTGATGCAGCTGTTGTTGTTGGTGTTGGTGCAGTTGCTGGTGTTGTGCTGTTGTTAATGTTGTTAATGCTGTTGTTGCTGAGTTGTGGTTGTTGCTGTGGTTGGAAGTCACATTTCTAACAAATAATTGTTGTTGATTTCCTGCCCAAGAACCATTATACATATGTGCTCAATGAAGGTGTCCCTTCCGGGGCTCGACGTTGCTGTTGCTGGTGCTGTTGTTGTAGTGGTTTTTGTTATCGCTGGTGTTGTTGTTGTTGTTGCTATTGCTGGTTATGTTGTTGTTGCTGTTGTTGTCGTCGTCGTCGTTGGTGGTGATGTTGTTGCGTTCTTGATGTTGCTGTTGTTGTCGCCGCGGCCCGCCCGAGACCCACCCTTGGTGGGGACTCCCCACCAAGGGTGGGTCTCGGGCAGGGGAGGCCGTGGTGCGCAAGGCGGGGGGGAGGGAGGCGAGGAGCCCTGCGCAGGCCGTTCCTCAGGGCACCGGAGGCGGCCCATAGTTCGAGTAGGGGATGGGCTGCAGATTTGATTTCCTAATTCTGTATGTTTCGTCGGACCTACGAAAAAAAAAAACATTGTACTTTTGTGAATTGACGGAGCATTGTCAGAGTAAGGGGGCCGAGCGGTCATTCACTGTCCCTGGGTGCGTGGCTGAAGTGATGTTCTGCGGTGCGGATTGTATTCTCATAGTCAAAAAGAAGTATCGTTGGTCTTCCTCTCTCGTAACCCCTTTTTCCAATTAATATACTCCTGCCGGTGCTCGCACCCTGTTTTTTTCACAAGGGAAAGCGAAGTGCTACCAAACTGGGCCCCTGGCCCCCGAGTCACAACAACAAGGAGAACATCGGCTCCCGCTTGATATTCTCTCACAATGTATTCCAAAATCGCGTTCTCGTGCGGGACCTCCTCACACTCACACTTTATGCAGGAATCGCGCTCTCGCGTGGGACATCCTCGCAATTTATTCAGACGATGCGCCCCTGACACTCAGAAATCACGCTGTTGCTCTGGCCTTGGGAATCGCGCTCGCTCGAGACTTCCTCGCGATTCATGCAGGACCCACGCTTCAACAACACGCCTTTTTGACCTGGTCGCTTGGGCCCGCCTTTCCGAACCGCCCGTTAGGGTCACCCCGCCCGATGGGCCCGTCTGGTTCTGCATCGTGTTTTCTGCTCCTCGCCCGCCTCCTGCTAATCCCGTGCTCCATCCTTCTACCTCCCCATTCCATCCGTCCTTTCTTCCCCGGCTTTAGGGGCTGCACCAAGTACACGCGGCAGGTGGAGAGGAAATACCACCAGGGGGTACAATCGAAGACGAAGAGGGTGGGTACCGAGGGTTTGGGATGTACGTGTTGATTGACACACGGGCAGGTAAGAGCGAACAGTCTTAAAATGATGTTTGTTGCTGCTGTAGATGATGATGCTGTTGTTGTTGCTGCTGCTGCTGCTGTTTGAACCCTCGCTACGAAGGAATACATATTGTTGGTCTTCCCCTCCGGTGACCTTTGTGTTTTCAATTGAAGTGCTTCCCCTGGGGTTCGTACCCTGTTTTTCTATCAAAGAAAATCATCCTCCTCAAACTGGGCCCCTGGCCCCCTAGTTACAACAACAACAACAACAACAACAACGGCTCCCTCCGGATACTTCCTCACAATTTATTCCAAAATCGCGCTCTCGCGCTTGATTTCCTCACAATTCATGTACGCATCGCGCTCTCGCGTGGGACTTCCTCGCAATTTATTCAGACGATGCGCCCTCGGCACTCAGGAATCACGCTCTCGCTTTAGCTCTTCTCCGGAGATTACTTGGGAATCGCGCTTTCGCTCGAGACTTCCTCGCGATTCATGCACGACCCACGCTTCAGCAACCCGCCTGCACTGATCGACCTCCTCGCCCGGGCCCGCCTTCCGGACCTGCCCGCTATGGGTCTGCCCACCCGATCTGCGCGTCTGGATCTACCACTTGTTTTCTGCTCCTTGCCCCCCTCCTGCTAATTTCTCTCGTGCTCCATTCTTCTCCCTCCCCCTTGGTATGTGTTGTTCGTTATGTGTTGTTCATTGTCTGTTGTGTTGTTTGTTGTCGTCGTCCCCCCCGCGACCAGGCCCGCGACCCACCCGCGAACCACCCCCGACCTGGCCCGCGACCCACCCGCGACCCAACCCGCGACCCGCCCGCGACCCACACGCAACTCTCCGCGACCCACCCACGACCCACCCACTAATTACCCACCCGCGACCCACCCGCGACCCACCCCGCGACCCACCCACACGGACTGCTTTGACGGAGAGATAGGCGCCTGCGGCAAACTCTTTGTATAGTATGTAAAACTGCGGCGGGCTTCTTCAGAGCCTCGCAGACCACCGACGTCCTCGCCGCCCCCTCACTCTTATCCGCAGCTGCGTGTTTAGCTATTTTACAGACTCGACGACAAACCAGCTTTGGGGTAAACAAATGCAGCAGTCGATCCCCTGCTCGAGTAATGGGGTCTGAGGAAATAAAGGTCGGGGGGCCAAGCCGCACTGCGGATGCACTGGCGACGACAGGCCAGCTGTCGTTGCCTCAAGTGGCCCTCTCCTGGCAGGACCCTTGGCAAGCCGAGGTCGGATGCCAGCAGGCCCACGGACAGGACGGGGGCCCCAATTCACAGCAGACACATACGTTAAGGAATTTTGCGAATTTGATTCAAGGCGCAGTGGTCGGGCGACCCTGGACCTCGCATGTGATGCCCCCCATGACTCCCACGGGTGTCCGGTGACGTCGGGGAATCGGACTTTTTTCCGTGGGGCATGCATGCTGGCAGGCCAATGTCTCATGTGGAGCACCTACTGCACGCAAGAGCGCCTTGGCAGTCACTCGGCGGGCCCCCCCTCTGACATAGAGGAGCAGAAACTCAATATCGTTTACCCGATCCCATCCCCATGCTCATCCCCTTCGAGACCCCACCAAATTACACCCCCAGTTGGGGATACACCCCTCGAAACCCGAAGACTACGGCCTATATCCCCATCTAGGACGGTAAATCGGCCAGTGGGGTCCCACGCTGGTGGGGATGGGGATCGGTTAAACGATACTCAGAAATCAATGTAAACATACACTTGTGGAACTCTGCGCGGATTTCTCGGATCGGCGCTGGACCCCCCTCCCCGGCCCGCCTCCAGCGCGCCAGGGGCGGCGCTGGAGGCGCTGCCGGGAGGGAGCCCAGCACCGATCCCAAAAGAACCGTGCGCAACTCCGAACATTTTTGTTCCTGCCGTTTTACCTCTTCGATGACCGGCAGCAGCCTGACCCATGCGGCGATTTCTCCCCGGGCGCGTTCTCACCATCGGCTGTGGACAATCCTCCCTTTAGTAAACCTCCCTTTAGTGAAAACGGCCTGGGACCGAAACCGACGGACCTACACCCGCAAAAATGACGGCCGCGACGTCCTCTCGCGAACCGAAAACGGCCAATTCGCGAGTCGACGTGTCAGGGTAGGAGGTCTGTCCACCTCCGACACCAAGATTTCGAGGCGAGCGGAGACGAGAGGGCCTCCCAGGAGGCCCCAACAAGCGGAGACGAGGGCCACGCAGCGGTATCGGTCTTGTCGCCCGGTGCCAGCGTGACAGAAGGAGGTCCAGCCGTGGCCAGCGCGCGGAGGGCAGCAGCAGCTGATGCCAGAGCCTCACCGCAAGCCCTCTCGGGCTCTCGAGCTGGTTTGGCTCTATCTCGAGCTGCTTGCGAAGACACCGCCAGCCCGCTGCTCGCGCAGCTGCCGCTCCTCGGGACGCACAGTGACATACTAGTAGAATGCGTCATCGAGCTTGTGGTTGAAGATATCTCGGCGCGCGCGTCGCCCCTTGGGGGGGGGGCGGCGCACACCTCGTATTAGCATGTTTGGGTGACGCCGACTTCTCCTCCCTGGTGGCCCCCAGGATCTCCAAGGAGGTCCCCACGGTCTCCAGAGTACCCCTCGCGAGACCCAGAGGGCCCAAGGGGCTCCAGAGTGAAGCGAACAGCTGGAAGCACCCTGGGCCAGGGCGGCACCTGGACCAACCCCCGACTCGAGCTGCTTGCGTGGACATCGCTGGCCCGCTGCTCGCGCGACTTCCGCTTCTGGAGCGCCCGAATTACCCGGGGTAACTCGTGCCCCGGGTAACTCGGGTTCGGGATCCCGGAAACCGAACCCGAGTTAGCCCTGATCCGTGTTACCCCTGATGATTCGGGGCTCTGGACGCGCAAATTATGCTGGGTAGCTCGGGCCCGGGGTAACTCGGGCTCGAGAGCCCGAAACATGAACCCGAATTAGCCCTGACCCGAGTTACCCAGCCCTGATGATTAGGGGCTCTGGACGCCCGAATTATCTGGGGTAGCTCGAGCCTGGGGTAACGCGGGTTCGGAATCCCGCAAAACGAACCCGAGTTAGCCCTGACCCGAGTTACCCCTGATGCTTCGGGGCTCTGGACGCCCGAATTATCATGGGTAACTCGGGCCTGGGGCAATTCGGGTTCCGAACCCTGAAAAGCGAACCCCGAGTTAGTCCTGACCCGAGTTACCCCGGATGATTTGGGGCTCTGGACGCCCGAATTATCCTGGGTAGCTCGGGCCCGGGGTAACTCGGGCTCTGGGCCCCGAAAACGAATTCGAGTTGGCCCTGACCCGAATTGCCCCTGATGCTTCGGGGCTCTGGACGCCCGAATTATCATGGGTTACTCGGGCCCCGGGAAATCGGGCTCGCAACCTAGGAAAACCCGAATCAGCCCTGACCCGAGTTGCCCCTGATGATTCGGGGCTCTGGGCGCCCGAGTTATCCGGGGCAACTCGGGCCCGGGGTAACTCGGGCTCGGGACCCTGAAAGACGAACCCGAGTTGGCCCTGACCCGAATTGCCCCTGATGATTCGGGGCTCTGGGCGCCCGAATTATCCCGGGTTGCTCGGGCCCGGGGTAACTCGGGTTCGGGATCCCGCAAAACGAACTCGAGTTGGCCCTGTCCCGAGTTGCCCCTGACGATTCGGGGCTCAAAATCTCCTCTCGGCGGCGACGATAGAGGCGAATAGCGCAGGGGCGGGCGTCACACGCATTCGCCTAGGAGCCTTGTCGAAGACATAGATCATCGGCGCCCCTGGATACATGTATTGCTCTTCCCTGGACTATCTGAATCCCCAGGAGGAGGAGGAGGAGGAGGAGGAGGAGGAGGAGGGGAGGAGGAGGAGAGGAGGAGGAGGAGGAGGGAGGAGGAGGAGGAGGGAGGCGGAGGAGGGGGAGGAGGAGGAGGAGGGGGAGGAGGAGGGGTAGGAGGAGGAGGAGGGGAGGAGGAGGAGGGGGAGGGAGGGAGGGTGGGAGGGAGGGAGGGAGGGAGGGAGGGAGGAGGTGGGAGGGAGGAGGAGGTGAGGAGGAGGAGGAAGGAGGGAGGAGGAGGAGGAGGGAGGAGGAGGGGGAGGAGGAGGAGGAGGAGGAGGAGGAGGAGGAGGAGGGAGGGAGGGGGAGGACGAGGGAGGAGGAGGGAGGAGGAGGAGGGATGAGGAGGCAGGGAGGAGGAGGGAGGGCTCTGAGCTCCTCCTCCTCGGTGGCCACCAGCTCGGAGCGCAGCCGGCCCAGGGCGCCCTCGGCCGCCCCGCGGCGGGCCTCCGCCTCCGCGGCCTCGCGGCGGAGGCGGGCCGCCAGCCCGCGCAGGCGGCGGCACCGCTGGGCGGCGGCCTCTGCGTCCCTCGGGGGGGCAGCGTGCGGGCACGCGCCGAGGTCGGGCATGCGAGCGGCACTTCTGTCCATATCCACTGCAGTATGGAGGTTCGGGCTCCCTCCCAGAAGCCCGAGGCGCGCTGGATGTGGATAAATTTGCCCCCTAGAGGCTAGATTTTGATCCATGTCCAGTGCACCTCGGCCTTGTGGCAGCGTGCGGGCACGCGCCGAGGGCGGGCAAGGCCCCCCGACGGGCGGATCTTTACCAGCCTCGAACGTATCCCTACCCCTAAAATCGACACGCGAAGAAGATCTCGTGCGAAAGTCACACGAGGATTTAAACATATTCAAGCATATGTGCAAAACGAAAAATAGTTGAAAGCATCGTGCCCGGACTATGTTCGCCATTTTGGAGTCTGTTCCTCCTGTAGAGGGACACGCCCGACTCAACTCGGGCTGGGCGAAAGGGGGGGATAGCAAAGGGTAGGGTAGGGAATCAGCTTACGTAGCTGACTTGCCCAGCGCCTCCCGGCGCCGGGAGGCGCCCATGTATCGAGGAATAGGCCCGGCGGTGGGGCGGGCACAGCTGCATGCAGCAGATTTCGTACCCCCCCCCCTTTCCCTATCCCCCCTTTCGTTCGGGCACGCGCCGAGGGGGGTACATCAAGGGGCCCTGGGACACAAATAAACATACACAAATCCAATGATGTCCCATGTTTGTTTCATATCTTCTGGGTGTTCGTCTTCCCCCCCCACTTCCCATACTTTCCCATGTTCTCTGGAGGGTCGACGATTAATTGTGTCTGTGTTTTTCCCTCCTGAGTACAGGCGGGGCGCAGAAATCAGGAACGGCAAGTAGGGAACAAAGCCCCGTCTTGGCCCCCAGAGCGCCAGCGTGCATGAGGAGGGCTAGAGGAGCAGCCACAGAAGGACCCAAGGACCATCGAGCTCCTTTCGTGCCCAAGCTGTTCCTTATTTCAGCGTGTTTACTTTGGGGGGAGGGGAAAAGGTTTCTCAGAAACACCCATGCTTCTTAGAATGCGCAGGCCTCGTCTGTAGATTTAGGGCTGGCGCCTGCCAAGAAGCAGCCTCATTCGAAGAAGCTTCCCCCCCTCCACCCACCCCCTTGTGCGCCCCGCCGAATCGTTCCACCGAGCCCCATTCCCAGCTGCACGAGCGGCAGACATGTCCGTACCCGCGCCCTCGCAGTCTGGATCCTGGGGCGCGGTCCCGCGGAGACGCGGTCGCAGGATTACGTCCCGCGCGGGTCATCCAGGAAAAAAACGCCTCCAGTCTCTGCGGGGTCGCCGCCCAGAGGCCCGGCCCGCGAGGCCGCGGATACGGAGATGCTTTCCGCCCACTACCATTTCCCCACCCGGAGACCCTGGCATCTCAATTCACTCGAACCGGGCTTCTTCGCTGGGTTTCGGACCCGGGGGCCCTCACATATCGGCCGGGTGCGAACAAATTGCGCAGAAAGCTGGGTTGTGGGGATCCCGTCGTGGTCTTTGTCAGATGCTTTCTTTTCCCAGCCCTCCTGCGTTGGGTACTCGTTTTGAATAGAGCACTGTGGTCTCCACCTTCCTCCTCCTCCTCCCGCCCCCTCTCCTCCTCTCTTCGTTCCTGCTCTCCTCTCTTGTTTCCCTTCTCCTCCTCTCTTTGCTCGTCCTCTTCTCGCTTGCCTTTTACCTAGCTTGCCCCTCGCCATCCCTGGGGGGCTGCGATCTGTGAAACTGTCGCCACTTTCGAGGCTGCTGGGGGGCCCAGCGGAGTGACGCCCTACGGGGATTCAGATTAGACCTCGCCATCCCTGGGGGGCTGCGATCTGTGAAACTGTCGCCACTTTCGAGGCTGCTGGGGGGCCCAGCGGAGTGACGCCCTACGGGGATTCAGATTAGACCTCGCCATCCCTGGGGGGCTGCGATCTGTGAAACTGTCGCCACTTTCGAGGGCTGCTGGGGGGCCCAGCGGAGTGACGCCCTACGGGGATTCAGATTCGACCTCGCCATCCCTGGGGGGCTGCGATCTGTGAAACTGTCGCCACTTTCGACGAGGGCTGCTGGGGGGCCCAGCGGAGCGACGCCCTACGGGGATTCAGATTCAACCTCGCCGTCCCTGGGGGGCTGCGATCTGTGAAACTGTCGCCACTTTCGAAGGCTGCGTGGGGGGCCCAGCGGAGTGACGCCCTACGGGGATACACACTAGACCTCGCCATCCCTGGGGGGCTGCGATCTGTGAAACTGTCGCCACTTTCAAAGGCTGCTGGGGGGCCAGCGGAGTGACGTCCTCCGGGGACTCAGATTAGACCTCGCCAGCGCTGGGGGGCTACGATCTGTGAAACTGTCGCCACTTTCGAGGGCTGCTGTGGGGCCCATGAAACTGTCGCCACTTTCGAGACCTGCTGCGGGGTCCAGCATAGTGACGTCCTACGCGGACGCAGATTGGACCCGTCATTCTACTTCGATTATCCCGCATCTGCGATCGACTGTATGTGTGCGAGGAACTAGACATGGAGTGGTCTGGCACTGACTGACGTCAAATCGTTGTGTGCCAGTGTCTCCTGGGGTGTTGCCTGATGTGGATGCAGCTCGTCGGCGCTGCGACTCGAGCTGGCGGTCGTCCTTCGGACCCGCAGAAACATCTGCTGAGCTCGATGAGCTAGGGGAACTACAGGAAAGAAGTGCAGGAAACGGAGGCCGGTCATGCACTCGCCGATACCTCGTTGCTCTGTCATCGTCTTTGCTGTTGCATGATCCTTATCTGGCCTGCCGGCGCCGCGGCTCGAGCTGGCGGTCGCCCTTCGGGCCCGCGGGAACTTCTTCTGAGACAAGTGGACGCCGCCGCCTTACTTGCAGGCAGCGCATTGCATTCGCGGACAGCAGCATGGCAGACCGCAGTGAGATCCTCAGTCGCGTGGTGTTGCCAAGCCTGGTGGAGACGCGCGTGATCGACCTGAAGTCCCAATCGCGCGTGCACTGTACCTGCGTGGCGTTCAGGCACGCGCGTGATGCTGCTCGCTCCGCGTTCAACCAGTACGTCGCCAGTGCAACTTTGGACGATGGACAACCGATTGATGATACGCGACCCCGGCCTTGAGTTTCTTTCCCGCGGGCCGCCCGCAGACCTGGCGGCGCGCCTGCGAGCGTTCAGCTCCCGCGCTGAAATGTGCGGGAAAGAGGCGGAGAAGCTAGCGGGCGAGCTACGCCTCGCTCGTTCCTTGCACTCTAAACAAGTTTTATCATGTGGAACTCTGCGACGACATGGCGCAGGCAGCGCTGCGGGTTTAGCTCGCACTTGAAAAACGCGGCAGTCTTCTGTCTCCTCCCGCCACTTTCATCGTCGTCCTATTCCCCGCCTCACCTTCTCCATGCATGCTGCTGCTTCCGCGATGGCCTTTCGCCCCCCCCGCCCTCCATTCCATCCCTCTCCTACCCCTCGTTCCCGTACCCGTTCTTCTTCGATCCTGGGGCCTCAAGCCTCGTTCTTTCGATCGTCGTCCTGTGAATCGTGCAACGCATGCGCATCCCATGTAGCTTGCACAGCAAATCGCCGCGTCTACACTGTCGTTGTTCCTGCTAATGTTGGCATACTCCTCTTGCCATTTGATGCACGTGGGTTGGGTACGTCGCAAGGTAATTGTGTCACGCCGCGGGATCTCATGGCATTGGCGTTGCCTTGGCCCCGCTGCCCGACTTACCCCCCCTGGGTGCGGATCCTTCGAGCTTCAGGGTGGGCAGGTGAGGCTGAGACTCCAAGGCCCTAGGAGGATGGGGTGCGGTTAGTCGGCGGCGCGCCCGGGGGGGAAGTGAGCAGGGGCGGGCCTTCTCAGAAGGCTCGGAAGCTCCACGGCCTTCTGGGAAGTGTTCGAAGCCTTCCCCAACGACGCAGGAAACTTCTCGGCGGGCGCGAGGGCTTCTGAGAAGTCCCGCCGCCCTCTGAGAAGGCCTGCTCACTCTCAAATTCCCCCCCTCGCTCGCCGCCGAGTCAGACGGCGGTGACCTCAGCTGCCTCCCTTCCCGCTCGGCGCTCTCCCCGTGCAGGAGCAGCGCCTCCGAGGGGACGGCAAGGCACCGATATACCGCTGCTCCCCGGAGCTCTCGCAGGGTGCGCTCCGTGTGCAGAGGTTCGAGGCGAATCTGGCGGAGGCGACGAGGAGCTCCCAGTTGGCCCCAACCAGGCGAGCACGAGGCATGCGCCAATGGCGTCGCCACCCCCTGTTCCTCCTCCGAGCCTGCGCGAGCCACACCTGCTGCACGAGCCACCGGAAGAGGGCCCCGACCGGGCGGCAGGCCAAATCCACCTGAGCGACTACTCCAGATTTCGTAATAAAGGGAGGGGGGTCTCATTTCGGGGGGGGTCTCTTCCAGGCTATCTTGGAGGGCCTGGGGGGGTCTGGGGACGATGTTTTGGAGGGTTCTCCCACGGGGGGGGGTCTGAAATGGCTTGTCTTGGAGGGTCCAGACCCCCTCCCTTTTATATTACGAAATCTGGGGTACCGCAAACGAGTCTCACGCGAGATGACAAAGCGACCTGACGCGGCGGCTTACGCGGCCGCCAGAGGGCACGCTACAGGGGCAACGCGCGCGCGCCCACGCGCGACCTCACGCGGGCAGCTCACGCACGAATGCCGGCGCAGTCGACCCCGTCTTCTTCCGTCGCCCACCTCGGGGGAAAGCAAAAGGTACCGCTACCGCTACTACCCAGGACCTCTCACGCGGTGCGTTCTGACCAGGATGTAGAGGCGCATCCCAGCGGTGCCGACGAAGGCCTCCCGGGAGGCCCCCAAAAGGGAAACCGAGGGAAGGGCAGCGGTACGGGTAGCTTTCTGGGAGACGTAGGGCTCGGGTTCGGGGGACTCGGGCTGGCCTGACGGGGTCGTCATGAAAATGACGAGATGCAGTCTGAAATCTGACGCGAGCTCCTGCTGCAGACATCCCCCGCGAAAACTGGACCGCCAAAATCTACGGCGCGCTCGCCAAAACGCGTCGGCCACAACCCGAGCTCTGGCGCCCTCGCGTCCTATACGCTTCCCCGAGCGGGGGCAGCGGAGGCAACTCCAACACGCAGACTTTCGCAACTCCGCGAGGGCTTCTTTCGGGTCGGGCGAAAGGGGGGGATAGCAAAGGGGGGGTTTGAGAATCAGCTCGCGGTAGCTGATTTTCCGGCGCCTCCCGGCGCGGGAGGCGACCATGTATTCGTGTATCGGCCCACTCGGTTGACGCCGGAAACCTAGCGCATGCCAGCTAATTTCGTAACCCCCCCTTTCCACATTCCCCCCCTTTCGACCGACCAGATTCTTGGATCGGCACTGGGCCCGCCTCCCTGGCGCGCGGAGCACACCATGGTCTGCAGGGGCGGCGCCGGAGGCGCCGCCAGGGGGCTCCAGCGCCGACCCGAAGACTCCGCTCGGATCCTGCTTCCTTCCGTCGCTCACCTGGGGGCCTCCCAGATTGGGTCCGAGTAGATGGGGACGAAGGATCGCGCCGCATCGCCGATGCATCGGCGACGCTCTGGCGACGCACTGGCGACGTCGGCGTGGAGAAAATCGGGCGCCACATCGAGCCGCATCGCCGATGCATCGGCGGTGCGGTGCGAGCACCCTCCGACCCCATCTTGGTCGGAGGAGGGGGAAAGGAGGGGGTCTAGGGGAACGAAGAATGACATCAACATAAAAACTCGGAGGTCCGCGCGGATTTCTCGGCTCGGCGCTGGACCCCCCTCCCTGGCGCGCGGAGCGCGCCGGGAGCGGCGCCTAAGACGCCGCCAGGGGGGTCCAGCGCGGATCCGAGAAATCCGCGCGGACCTCCGAGTTTTTACCTTCACGTCATCCTTCGTAGGGTCTGGAGGATCGGGTCGGGCGAAAGAGGGGGATAGCATAGAGGGGGTTTACGAATCAGCTCACGTAGCTGATTTTCCCGGCGCCTCCCGGCGCCGGAGGCGGCTATGTATCGAGGCATGGGCCCCTCGGTGGGGCCGAAACCAGCTGCACGCAGCAGATTTCGTGACCCCCCCCCTGTCCCAATCCCCCCCTCTTTTTCGTCCGGCCCGATCGTGGGGTCTGGAGGGGAGGGGGAGGGGAGGGGGGGGGGAGAGAGGGGGGGATGAGAGATGAGGGGGGGGATTAAGGTGGGGGGGGGAGAGGGGGGGAGGGAGGAGGGGTGGGGGGGCAGAGGGGGGCGTCGGCCCCCGCTTATCCGCCCGCCGCTGGACCTCCTTCTCGGACTGGCGCGAGCGCGGGCCCCGCGCCCGCCGTCCTCCGCGGCCTGGCGGGGCGGCTCCCCCGCCGAGCCGGGCGGCGCGCGGCGGCGGCTGGCCCGGGCGCCGCGGCGCGCGCGGAGGGGCGGCGGCCTCCGCAGCGCGCGGGGCGGGCCCGCTCCGTGGGCGCCGGTGGCGCCCCGGGGCTGGCGGCGGGGGCGGGCGCGGGGCCGCCCGACCCGTGGGGGCACGCAGTTCCCCAGTTGGAGGTGGGGTGCCCGGGGGATCGGGCCCGGGCCGAAAGGGGGGGATAGAAAAAGGGGGGTTTGAGAGAATCAGCTCACGTCGCTGATTTTCCCGGCGCCTCCCGGCGACGGGAGGCGCCTCCAATGTTTCGAGGAATGGGCCCCTACGGTGAGGCCGAACATCAGCTGCACAGAAGGCATATTTCGCAACCCCAACTTTCCCGTTCCCAATCCCCCCCTTTCGCCCCGCCCGAGTTGCCCGCAGAGGAGCCCCATGGCCTCAATCTTGGCTTGTTTTATACCAGCCTGGGACGCATCCTTCTCCCTAAGATTGGCACGCCAAAAGGCGATGACAATCTTAGGGATTCGCCCTCAAAAAATAAGAAGGGGATCCCTAAGATTGGCATCGTGATGAGGAGGTGTCCAGCATAGGGATAATTAGGTACATGTTCCAGGCTGGTAATTGTTCCCAGCGTATTCAAGGGCTACAATACAGAATTAAGTGCGAGCAGCCCGAAAACGATCGAACCGGTGTCTGCCCGACACGCCAGCGAAACGTCGAGCGAGTTTCGCCTCCCAGGGCCCGACACGTGGAAACCCTCCAGTTTCGGCGCTTTCTTGGTGCTCGAAATTCTTTCTGGCGGTCAAGGCTAAAGTAGGCTGGAACATCATAACCCTCGCCCAGGGTGCCCCCAGGAGTTCCAAGGATAGACAAGCGCGCCCCGCTGCTCGCGGAGTGGCTGCTCGCAAAGAGCCTGCGTGTAGGCACTATATTGCGAGTAGTGGAACGCGCTGGCCGAAGAGAGGCCCCCACGGCCTCCTGGGAGCACCCCTCATCACGAGGACCACAGGGCCCCATGGGGGCTCCAGAATGGAGCGGAAAGCTGGGGGGCACCCTTCGGTTAGGTCGGGCATGTCCTCCTACAGGAGGATTGGGGATGGAAAGCAGTAGCCAAAACATGCCCCACAATACTCAAGCTTAGTCGAAATATCGTCCCCACACGACTTGCTTATTTGTTTATATATATATATATATGATACCGGAGAAAAGCCCCAATCAGATTTTTGTTAGGGCTATAGGGCTATAGGGCTATAGGGCTATTGGGCTATAGGGCTATACGGCTATCGGGCTATCGGGCTATAGGGCTATCGGGCTATAGGACTGTGACCTATAGGGCCATAGGGCTATGAGGCTAATCCGAAAGCCCTTATAACGGCGACGAGGCGACGATCGAAAGCAGTGCCCCGGCACTGCTTTGAACGCGTTCAAAGCAGTGCCCCGGCACTGCTTTGAACGTATGATATGATGATATGATGATGATTATGATTGATGATGATGATGATTTTTCCAGCGTACACTGTCCGCAACTGCGGCAATCAACATCGTGCTCCACTTGCCCGCAACTGCGGCCATCACCAACGCTGCGCCTCGAAGCTCCACGGAGGGCGCTCGGCAGGTCGCCCGCTCGAGCCCCACTCGACTTCACGCTGAGGAGGCGAGCCCTCAGGGGCATTGTCCGCAACTGCGGCATGATCAGAGGGCCACCACTGCGCGCCATCAGCGCCCCATTCGCTCGAGCTCCAGTCCCACCAGGACCAGCCCTGCCATCTCGTGGCGGGACTGCGCGCCTCCCATGCGCCGCTGCCGCTGGCGTCCCAGGACCCAGCCGCCACTGCGGCACAAGAGGGGTCGCATCGTCGCCGTTGGCAGCTTGCGGCGGTGGCGTGTTCCCAGCTCGCTCAGCCCCAGCGTCTCTCCCCGCAACTGCGGTTCCCATCTGGGGTCGGACGCCCTTCCCCGCAACTGCGGTGTCCGCGTAGCTGCCCTTCTTGCCGCCCTTCTTGCCGCCCTTCCTGCCGCCCTTCCTGCGTTCCAACCTCGCGGCGAGTCTTTCAGGTGACCTGCGGCACGTATTGTGCGTGAAAGCCACCAGAGGGAAGTGCGCTCCGTGCCTCGCCCTGCCGAAGGCGCCATGCCATATCTTGTCGTCGAGGTTGCCCTGCTTCACTCTGAAGGGATGGCGCACCCAATCGTCGCGTTCCCTGCGCGCCATCCTTTGCTCGAACTCCGCAACTGCGGTCAAGGATTCGCCAGATGGCGTCAGGAAGGCGCGCATCTTGTTTTCAACGGGCTCAGCCTTGGGCACGTAAGTCTGAAGCATCTTCCCAGGGCCATTCGTGTAGTCGAAGACAGGGAAAGACGGATCATGCTGGGTCGTCAAGAATCCGCCCTCACGGTCGTGCAGAACACTCAGGCCATGGTGAAGCTTGTACTGCCCAGGACAGTTTATGAACAAAATCGCCATGCTGTCTGCCCTGGGCTGGCCGCCTGCTGTCTTCCAGGGGGTCCACGCGGCGACGTCCACAGTCAGGCCGCAATTGCGGCACCAGGACACAAGCTGGAACATGCACATGTTGAAGTCCCCCATGCAGACCTTCACGTCCCATTCCCTGACGTAGGCGACGAACCAGTTGTAGAACTCATGGAGCTTCGTGACGCCCCAGTCTTGGTTGGCCAAGCTGTGGTGGACGTGCACCGCCATGACGTTGAAGGAGCCCCCCAAATGGGGCACGGCCTGGTCCAGGTGGACGCGCACCACCATCGCCCTGGAGTACTTGTTGTGCAGCTTTGGCGCAGGAGCCTCCGCAACTGCGGACTGTTTCTTCTTCTTCTTCGTTTTGGACTTCTCCTGCTTGTGGAAGAGTCTCGCAAAGTCTACGTGTTCAATGTGGCCGCCACTGCGGTCCCTCATGCCAACAAGGAGGGTCCCTGATGGCTCGCCGCCCTTAACGCACAGGTAGTTGTATTGAGTCCGACTCCGAAACCTATCGTCCGCAACTGCGGCTGCACTGTCCCTCGCGTCGTGCTCCCCACTGAGTACCGCGCAGGTCTCGTCGTCGCACTCGCAGAGGGCGATGATCTGGGCAGGGTTCGCGCGGAGCTGCGCCCACTCGTCCGCGCGTTGCGTGGGTCTAGCTGCAGTCCCTCCGAAGTTGGCCACGTAGAAGCCGACCCGTCCCGCTTCGAACTCCGTTTTCTCCTCCCATGCGTCGACAAGAGCTCTTTGTTTTTCCGACAGATTGCTTGTCTCGATGATGGGCACCCGTTTCCAGGGTCTCCGCGACGACAACACTCTCGGCATGTAGGAGTCATGTGCTGCCGCAACTGCGGCTCCCGCACCTCCCCGGGACTCAGCCTCGTCAGCGGAGGCAGCCGAGGACGCGACGGTGCTGTCGCCATCTTGCGTCCGCTGGTCGTCGTCATCATCCGCAACTGCGGCTTCCTCGTCTTTGCCTCCCTCCTCCTCCTCAGCGTTGTGGATGAACACCGTTCTGGCGAATCGAAGTCCACGGTCCATACTCCCTGAGGATGCGCTCGGGCGCGCGGGCGGCCACATGCTTGCGTCTTCGCGTGCGCCACCTCGAGCCACGGTGGCTACGGAAATGGATCGTGAATGGGCATGGGGTCGGATGGAGGGAGGAGACAAAGAGGATTCGAGGAGTGGCAGAAGGAGGGCGAGGACTCAAAGGAACCGAAAGAACAACAAATGGACTGGCGGAGAAGCAGAAGGAGGGCGACGATTGCAAGGGACTGTGAAAGGATTATTTTCACAGCAGCAGGAAGACCGCAACTGCGGTTTTGCCTCATCTCCTGCCCGCGCGGGAGCCGCTTGGAAAAACAACTTCCCTCTGGACTTCCTGTGGGTCCGCAACTGCGGCCTGCATCGCGCTAGGGCTGGGATTACCAGCGCCATTTGCCCTCCCAGGGTTCTCACTGTTTCCGAATGCACGAACTGCGACAGCGCCGAACGGTTCCCAGACGCCGCGTCGTTCGCGACTTTTTGCAGCCACCCAGCAAACGTGAGCGGCCATTGCTCCTTGTGCTGCTTGCACATCTCCTCGTCCCAATGCGTCTTGAACCATGCCCACTCCCCCCTCTGCTCGTCTGAGAGGACGCCTTTTCCGCGAGCCAGGCGATCCAGAGCTGCCATCC